AAGATTAACCTGGTGCGAAAATATGGAATGAGTTTGTTCCAGACTGCAGTTGTCTTTTGTAAAAGATCAAAGTCTGGCACAGGATCGGGAACGTTGGAAGATCTGTCTGGCGCGTCTGCCTCCGCCAGCCAAAAGGAGAAGCGGTGATGGACCATGAAAATGAAGTTGACTATGATGGTTTGCTTGCAGCCTTCATCTGAGATCTCGATTCTCTCGTATACATTTTCGCGTACTAAGTACGTTGGACTACTCGCCCATTTTTCTCAAGCCTGAACCGTTTTTTACTTATGCTGTTTTCAATCGGTGCCCTGCTCTCGTTTAGACTTTCTATTGCCAATTTAATTCCAAGGGAGAAAATGGTATTTACAATGGGTCGTACCAAGAAGGACGAGATATATGGCCATAGAGTCTGATATCAGCATCTCTGAAGACTGCAATTTGTCTTGAACCATTTGATCGCTGACTAGCAGGTGGGTGAGACATTCTGGATCGAGAAAGAATGAATTGACATATAAGAACCTGTATAAAGTCCTAAATGCGCACTGTATAAAAGCTAGCTGTTTGTGAACATGTCTGCAACTTACCGCCTTGGTAACCACGACAGTTTGTTTACCTGTTTATCACAATTAATTTTGTTTGTGAGACAACGGCACTGCTGGATGGATGAAACACAATGCCTTGAATTACTCCATCGCTAATGAATTATGCCAAAGGTACTCCGAGCGCCATTAGCATCTCTGTTCTCATTGCTATGAAATTTAGTGTAGGAAAGTAAACATATTCAAAATCAGCAAGCCGATGGCTATGGATTGGACATAGAAGGTCGAGTCAGTTTCATTTGCAGCGCCGGAACAACACAGGCTTAAGAACACAAAATTCATCGTATGGAAACGCTTAAGCATATTTAATTAACGTATCGATTCGTAGGTCGGAGCCAAATATCATTTTCTTAGATTTTACAACAGTGATGATCGACGAAGCTCAGCGATCCCCTGTTTTCGCATTCTTGAGAAAGCCGACACAGAAGGATTAAAACTCGAAGTTGACTAATATAAGTATGAATATTGCATCTAATTTTAAGCTACGTTTCTCACTTCATCGATATTTGACAATATGCTCGTCAGAACGGCCTGACTGCAACGTCAAACAAGGAAAACAGTCCAGTTAATACGGTAAACATTTAGGCAGCTTAAGTGGTACTGTAAGGAGGTCAGTTGAGTAAATACTGTAAACACAATAACAATAAATCCTTTAAGATTGATAAAATGTATTCAACCATTTTTACTGCTTGTTCAATCGACCGGTTAACTACCGGGGAAGGCCA